ATAATGAAAAAATTATTACATCTTAAGCTGTACTGTAACAATTAGAAGAAGTGTCATTTAAACCTATTTCAAAAAATTTTCTATTCGACGATCCATCGATAACAACTGGTGGAAAAAAAAAGCACAAATAGACTATGGTAAAATATGGAGTCGTATTTGATTGGCTCAATGTAACGGGGTGAAGTGAACCACATTTCTTTAGTTAGCATGTTTGGTTCACTTCCCACGACCGAATAGTTGCTACTATTTTCATATGCTTATTTCTGTTTCAATCAAAGCTTCTGGCATGCTATTATTCAATTTTTGTCTGTTCTTAATTCGGCACTTGTTACACGTTCATCTACTCGTTCTGTTTTTCTTTTAAAAGGTTCTCTTCTTATGTGAATCATTCATCTTTGTTGAGGTTTCTCCAAGGTAAATGCAAGTAAAATGTCAATATTTAAATTTTATCTTGACATGCATATTTAACGAATCCATGATTGTAAACAAATTCTACACTATCTATCATTATTCATAAAAATATGGAATCGTCATATCAGATGGATACTTCATGTGCACGATGTCAAGAACTTCCAGAAGTACGGTCAAAAGTCGTACGTGTCTTTGTTAGTTCAATATTTTCAGGTGGGGTATATTGTAAATTTGTATGAAGAAATATAATGGTATGTTTTTGTATGTAGATACACTTAGTGAACGAGATTCATTAATTGATAATGTCTTTCCAAAATTAAAAGATTATTGTCGTGAAAAATATGGTCTTGAATTTCAAGTTAGTATAAACAAGTTTATATCTATGTTTTTTTTTTATTTCTGATGAGTTTCTTTTTACTATTATTCGAAGTATTCGGATATGCGATGGGGCATTGAAAATGAGTCGACCGATAATCATAGTGAAGTTGCAACTTGTCTTAATGAAATAAAATTATGTCAGAAATATTCAGTGGCTACCAATTTTGTGGTTTGTTGGATTTCTAACTAATTGCTTAGTTGTCATAGTCTAAGGTATCGTTGTATATTTCCACAGGTCCTATTAAGTCATCGTTATGGTTCACGACCAACACCAGCTACTATTCATGCATCACTTTTTGAACGATTGCAACAAATTGTTGTTTCTGATTTGAATTTAACCGAGGATGCTGAACTACTTTCTCAATGGTATCAATTAGATACGAATTGTATACCGGCTGCTTATATTCTTCGCCCAATTTCGTCAATGTTATCAAACATAAAATCAGCAGTATGATATGACTGTCAATTAGAATGAAAATCGACAATAGTGTTTTTTTTCTTTTAGGAATTAGATGAAATGAAAAAAGTTGCAAAAGAATGGACAAAAATAAATAATCGTATTCGAACGTGTTTGCGACAAGCAGCAGTCAAATGTTTTGAACAAGGTCAAATCAATGCAAATGAATATGATGATTTTTTTATATCAGGTAAATTTCTATGTTTATTATATTCAATATTTTTCTTTCTATATTAACAATTACAGTTACCGAAAAGGAAATAGTCAATGGAATTCTATCAGTACCCAATGCTAATGAACGTACTTTATGTTTTCTACGTAAAATCGATGGTATTTATGATCATTTATCAGATAGTAAAGCATCGAGATTTATTGATTTATATTATTCCGATGATGGAAAACCTATTATTGATCATGAAGCTGAACAGTTACTCAATCGTTTGAAATGTACATGTATTCTAAATGCATTACAATCCAATAATATATATGCATATACTGTACATTGGACACAAAATGGTATCAATCGACATGATCATGCTGAATACATATCGAAATTTAATGATGATTTCTACGATGCAATAAAACAATAAATTGATAATTGTGTTAAATCACGTATTATGATAGTTTCTGATCCATTACAACATGAAATATTGGAACATGCTATACAATGTAAAACATATGTAGCTAAATTTCATGGTCGAGCTGACGTTCTAGATAAAGTAAGATATTTACTAGAAGGATTGTTTCATTCTTTTTTTTTCTATGGAAAGGTATCTTTTATTTCTATCAGTTAGAAAAATATATCAAAAACGAAAAGGAAAATCGACCATGCATTGTATATGGAGCATCTGGTTGTGGCAAAACAAGTGTACTTGCTAAGACTGCAACTGAAGTACGTATATAAGAACAATGTGCAATTAAATATTCATTGTTAACTGCGATTTATTGAAATTTCAGGCATTGAATTGGTGGTCTGATCGATCTGTATCGGTAATTTTACGTTTTCTTGGGTATGTTCGAAAGATTAACCTTAAATATGGGTGTCTTTGAAAAAAAATGCTACGATTTGTTTTTCACCCGTACAACTTCCAATTGTTTCGCTTTGCTTTTTTTAAATGAGTAAAATCAGCGATGGTAGTACAACAAAGGTCTTTGAGTTCATATCAATGTAATCTTTTGAATAAAAGCTGTTAGCGCAATCCCTTGCGAGATTAAAAATGTGAAACACGATGTAGCTGCTATAACCGATTTTCTAAAAGCTGTTGTTTTTGTATGCCTACTGATGCACATTTCATAATGGCTTACCTTATATTATATACTTTCAACAGGATAATACGCCATATATGCTTCAATCATATGTTAGTTATGCAATATATCTGATATTTCCTTGAAGTCCTCTATCACAGTCTATAATGACCNCTGTGGAAATTTGCGTTCTTCTTCAGAATGTATACACCCTATACGCACATTGGCTGGCACAACAACAAGTGAGGACGAAACAGTATGTGTATTCTGAAGAAGTATCTCTTAGTATTAGTATGTTGACAAATAGAGATGAATCATCGATTCAATATCAAATGAGAAGCGTTTATGTGATTTGATTGGTCAGTTTGTTTCGATTATTTCTCGAGTATAGACAATTTTCTGGAAAAAACTAAAACCACAGTCTGATAGAGAAGAACCATCTCTATCGACCAGTATAAGTCAAAAACTCGGCCCATTTCTTTTGCCCGAAAAAAATCACTTTAGATGATCTGTGTTTTGATTGGTCAGTTGGTATCGATTATTTCTTGGGTTTAATCAATTTTCTAGAAAAAACTAAAACCACAGTTCGATGGGGAAAAATTTCCTCTATCGACCGATATAAATCAAAAATTCTGCCCATCTAATTGTTTTCAGGAATCGTCGCAAATAGTGTATTTGATATTGATTCGATTAACACGCTATACTTTTTTCGTTCTGTCAGCATTCTATTAACCTACGTTGTAATACGAACTATTTTAAATCAGTTTGAATAATAAGCTTACGTCAACACCTGGTACGCGTTCATTTGTTCTGCTTTCTCTTTGAATGGTTCTCTTGTCATGTGAATCATTCATCTTCTTTGAGGTTTCTCCAAGGTAAACGCCAGCAAAATGTCGACGTTGAAATTGTCGTTTGACAAACATATTTAATAAATTCACTATTGTAAACAAATTCTACGCCATCTATTATTGTTCATACAAACATGGAATCGTCCTGTCATATAGATGTTTTACGTGGACGATGTCAAGAACTTCCAGAAACTCGGTCAAAAATTGTACGTGTCTTTGTTAGTTCAACATTTTCAGGTAAGAAATTATAAGCTTATTCAAATAGTATGACAAACAAAAATGAATCTCATCTTATATAGATACACTTAGCGAACGAGATTCATTAATCGATAATGTTTTCCCTAAATTGAAAGACTATTGTCGTGAAAAATACGGTCTCGAATTTCAAGTCAGTAAAAACAAGTTTTATATCCAATACTCTTTTTACAATAATTTTTCACTACTTATTGAAGTATTCGGATATGCGATGGGGAATTCAAAATGAATCAGCCGATAACCATAGCGAAGTTGAAACTTGTCTAAATGAAATAAAATTATGTAAAAAATATTCGGTGGCTACCAATTTTGTGGTTTGTTTAATCTTTCATTCATTTATTGATTCTCACACTAGTTCAATTTATTTTTGAATATCTGAATAGGTTCTATTAAGTCATCGTTATGGTTCACGACCAACACCAGCTACTATTCATGCATCACTATTTGAACAATTGCACCAAATTATTCGTTCGGACTCGAATCTAAACGAACATGCTGAATTACTTTCTCAATGGTATCAACAAGATACGAATTGTATACCGGCTGCTTATGTACTTCGTTCCATTTCATCGATGTTACCAAATATCAAGTCTGAAGTATATGAGATAATTTTAAATTAGAATGAATATCGACGATAGTAATTTGTTTGTTTTACTAGGATATACAAGAGATGAAAGAAGCATCAAAACAATGGACACAAATTAATGATCGTATTCGAACTTGTTTGCGACAAGCAGCAGCTAAGTGTTTGGAACAAGGTCAAATTAGTGCAAGTGAATATGATGATTTTTTCATATCAGGTAGAGTCTATTTGAACATTCAATATTTTTGCATGACTTTTCATTCTATATCAACAATCATAGTCACAGAAAAAGAAATAGTCAAAGGTATTCTATCAGTATCAGATGCTAATCAACGCACATTGTGTTTTTTACGCGAAATTGATGATATTTATGATCATCTATCGGATAATAAAGTATCAAAATTTATTGATTTACATTATTCAAATGATGGAAAACCTATTATCGATCATGAAGCTGAACAATTACTCAATCGTTTGAAATATACACGTATTCCGAATGCATTACAATCGAACAATATCTATTCCTATAAAGTACATTGGAAACCAGATGGTATCAATCGACGTGATCATATCGAATACATAGCTCAATTTAATGATGATTTCTATAATGCAATAAAACAACAAATTGATTGCTGTGTCAAATCTCGTATTATGATTGTTTCAGATCCATTACAACATGAAATATTAGAACATGCTATACAATGCAAAACATACGTAGCTAAATTTCATGGACGAGCTGATGTTCTAGATAAAGTACGACATTTTGTAGAATTTTTTTTAGAGTATTTTTTGCTTTCATCAGCTAGAAAAATATATCAAAAATGATAAAGAAAATCGACCATGTGTTGTTTATGGAGCATCTGGTTGTGGTAAAACAAGTGTACTTGCTAAAGCTGCGACCGAAGTATGTATATAAAAAACGATCTATAATTGAAAATACATTTTTCTACTTTTTATGTACTGATATCTTAGGTATTGAAATGGTGGTCAGATCGATCCGTATCAGTCATTTTACGCTTTCTTGGGTAGGTTGAAAAAAAAATCAATCTTGAATGTAAAAGTCTTTGGAAAAATGTTCCGATTTATTTTTGAGCAATTTCATAAACAAAGGACACAGTGGAATGAAATTTTCTATTCAAATATTTATGAACGCGTTCTTTTTCTTTCAATTTCATAATTTTTAATCCAACTGATGTTTTAGTAGCAATAAAATTACATGGAAAGAATTTTTCTACTAAGAATATATCTAAAATTAAATTGAAAACAAATGAAAAGATAGAAGTCAATAAAGCATTGTTTGTCGATGTTATTATATTTTTCTAAAGACATTTTCATCGTATCGTGTTGCTTTTTTTGTTTTCCTATATTCGAACCTTTATTTTTAAACTACTTAATTATAGAACAACACCTACTTCATCAACAGTCTACAAGACTATTCGATCCATATCTCAACATATTTGTAAATTGTACAATCTATCAATGCAAATCTATCCTGACGTACTACAATTACGTTATCAATTGGAAAGTAATCTACTAATGTATATACCGAATGATGAATATCTTATTATTTTACTTGATTCAATTGATCAACTCGAAACAGACGCATACGATTGTCAATGGTTACCTGCATTATTTCCAAAAAATGTCAAATGTATTGTATCAGCAATACCTGATCATGGTAATATTTTAGCGAATTTAAAAGGAATTATCAATTATAATCCATTTTTGTCAAATGATACAGAACATTTACTTGTAAATGTACCACCTTTTGAAGCATCAACAGTAGATATAGTCTATAATGATTGGCTTTCAATGAAACAACGTTCATTAAGCGATGAGCAACGTTCATTTATTCGTGATTTAATGAAAGAACGAACTGAAATTCTACCTTTATATATGAAACTTGTGTTTGATATTATTTTAACTTGGCATTCTTATGATCTTATCGATTTTGAATTACGAAAATTAAAGAATGTTGATGATTGTATTCGTTATCTTTTTAATCATCTAACAAAAATTCACAATAATATTTTATTTCGTCGTGCTATATGTTATATGACAGCATGTCGCAATGGTATTAGTCAAAATGAACTTGAAGATGTACTTTCACTTGATGATGATGTTCTTAAAAGTGTTTTTCAACATTATATACCACCTATTCGACGTTTACCTGGTATTTTATGGACAAGAATTCGAAATGATTTAGACGAATATATTACAGAAAAAGAAGTTGATGATTCCTCAGTTATCTATTGGTATGATTAACACAATATGCATCAGTTGATATCGAAATTTCGCTTTAAAATTAGTTGAGTTTACAATTGAAGTAGATTCAATGTTAGATACAAGCAGATTTAGTTGTGTTATTAAATAGCTCGACAACAGAATATATATTCGAGAAAACATTGCTACCTGTTATGAGTACATATGATTTACGAAAGTTAAAGACTGTCTCATAATAACTGAAGATAAATTATCAACGATATTTTTCTTACTTTTTCTTGATGTAGAAGATTTAAACATTTATCAAATGCATATATAATCAAGGCACCTACACCATTAATATTTTCCATGAATTGCAGCACCAATTTCAGCCCTCTCCAGCTAACTCTGCCAAGTATATTGAGATTATGATTTGGAAGAAATAATATGCAATCTGGAGAATATTGAACAGAGGTCTTGAGTCAGTGAACAGATAATGAAAATATATAAATTTCTTTTGAATCAGTTATTGAAACTCAATTTTCATGATAATCTTCAGATAAGATTAAAAAATGAACAGGAAAAAGAGAAAATATTTCAGTCAATTGCATACAAAAGAGCTATCTCACTAAAAATCTGTATGAAGTGCTTATAGAACATCAGGCTAAAACAAGCAATTTCGATATTTTGACTGAAAATCATAGCTTCAGATTATGAGTACGAAAGAATGCCTCGCACAAGATTTTCATCATTTGGGATTATGACAAAAGTTTTAGGTCAACATAGAGATATTAATTTTGTTCTAACCTTTTCAGTTATTACCTGTAATTAGTCGCTAAGAAGAAGGTTGAGTAAAGCACAATTATAAGTGTTTAATATAGTTTTTTTGTTCTTCATCAATGATGTGTCCTTGACTATGTTTTACATTTCAATTCTTTAAACATAAAGTTTCTACATATTTCTTTTCTCTATAACATCTGTTTTTGAAATTTTGCTTGATTTTTTATCCAGAGAATTTCGATTCATTCAAGGATACGAAGTCTAAATAAATATTTTCTTTAGTGTATAGTACGATTTCTACTATATCGATATTTATATAGGTATCATCGTCGATTCATTGAAGTTGCAAATGCTCAATATATTTCAAAAATGACTTCTCAGGAAAGAACGGTTGTTTTTCAAAATATGATCGATCTATTCAAAGAAACATGGAAAGGTAAAAATAAGCCATTTAAAATCGATGATCCAAAATTGGTCAATAAGTATAATTTAAATGAATCGAATGGTGAAATTCAAGCAAATCGATTTATAACTTCACAACCGACCGAATTCGTTGATGTCAATGGTCATATCCAGTTCAACAAAAGAAAATTGAACGAATTACCTCAATTTTTGGGTCAGTTAACAAGTAATATAGCGATTCCCATTGCTGCTCAAGAAGTATTTTTTAACTACTCATTTATGCGTAAAGTATTCTCCAAAAAGAAAAAAAAACAAGAACTACTTCAAAAGTTACGATATTGATCTATTTCAGGGGCTAAAATTGCATGTTCAACTTTCAATGATATCATGAACGATTTGCAAAAATTCAAAGAATCATCAGCATATGGTATTTCACAAGAAGCAAAAGCGATGAAAACAGAACTTGAAATATTTGCCATGCTTTATATGATTGTCGGTGCTCAACTTCAAGAATATCCGGAAAATTTCTCTTTTGAATTTTCTTCACGTCTCTTAAGTTTATTTGGTACTAAGCCGCTTATTACTGATCTAATCAAACAACTCGATGAACAAAGTATTCACTATTGTTCTTTGATTGTACCCTATTGTCAACTTCAACCACCAGGCAGTGGTTTACTCTATTCAATGAATCGACATACGGCACCTGTAGTCGATTTCGATTTTACCGATGATCAAATGGTAGCAATTTCTCTTTCAGATAGAATCGTTGTCATCGATATGCACGCAGCAAGTACAGTTTTGGATATTAATATGCCAACATTAGATGAGCCCTATTTAAATTCAACTACATTACCTGAAACATATACTTTCGATGGAAAAAATGAAGTAAAAAGTGATTGGTCGTCAAATGATAACAATGATCAATACAAAAGATATTTATTTCTTGTCAATTCTTTACATCATATCTATCTTGTATCAGCTCATGAAAATATTAAATTCGAACGATCATCAAAAGTTGGTTATTTGACTGTTGAAATTCTTGATAAGAAACGTGCTCTTTGTATCATAACAGAATTAAATGGAAATAATGTCGAATGTTGGGATGTTGTGAGAAATCGATTATTCGATCGAATCAATTTTCCAAAGTCAACAATTAAAAATGTTCTTTGTGTTCAGATTTATTCGATGATTATAATTGTTCTTCAAGATGGAGTCATTCATTTTTATTCAATTACTGATTGGACAAAATCTTCATTTGTTCATCGAGGTTCAATTCAAGCTGGACTTCATCTTGATTTAGTCGTGGTTGATGAAGATATGTTAATTTGTACGTTCGATGCAACCATTCCTATTGATTTTGCTGTGATTGGTTTAAAACAATTTCATAACACTGAACAAATCTTATCCGACAATCAAGTACTTAAAACATTGATTGCTTTTGATCCTCCGATCGGACCCAAACCAATAAAATCTATCATATTACCCGATAAGGAAACAATGAAAAACCATGATAGTCAATCGAATTTTCCGCTCTTTATGAGCAAGACAAATGATGGTCTATTTGTGGTTCATAAATGTAATCAGAAGGATATTTCTTATGTGCATATAAATGGTCGATTTGATATTGTATCGATGCATGCAAAGAATCCACGTACTGTTTATACAGCTCGTGGAGGAATTATCGAGCTTCATAAATGGGCATGTATCGAAAGCGAAGATACTAACAAGAACAATCATAAATATCAATTGTATGTTTCCATCGATATTAGTTCTTCGCCAGTAACTTCAATTAAAGCTTCAGCCGAAAACGGTAAATATTCTTTATTTTTAAAAGAATTTTCGAAAGTATTAATACTTTAGTTTATTTAGATAAATAGACTAGATTTATGGACATAACGTAGACCCCTGATTTCTGATAATAAACGAATCTTTCAGAAGTCATAGTTTGATAAGTTCGTTTTTTTTGTGTACTCAAAAAGTGAGTACACTCTAGAATCGGTCAGTATGTCCGACCGGCCGTCCGGCCGTTTACACGATACCTTTCGAAAGGAGAGTCCGATCCCGATGAAATTTTCTACACAGTTCAGTCTTAACAATGTCTCGGTCGAGTTCGAAGATGAGCAGGATCCGTCAAGAAATGGCTGAGTTATAGAAAAAATTGTCATTGTTGAGAAGACCATCCCTGAGGAGGGGTACAGGGATTTTTTCAAAAAAAAATTTTTTTCTCCGAATTATTCACAACATATATCTATCGACTCAGTTTTTAACGCTGATTCCGAATCTGATATTAGTTTTGAATCAAATTGTAGCTTTCTAACAAAAAATCCCCCGAAAAAGGCTCAAAATGCATAAAAACTACAGTTGAGAAAGCAAATAGGGTAGATATTGTCTCAGATGATAAAAAACAAAGTGAATATACCTGTTCACTTTTTGAAGTACACATAACACTCGGATTTAAATCCGATATTTTCGCATTTATTCTTGATTTAGAATGATTTTTTTATGTTTGAAGTCATCCACCACGAAACAATAGTATGTTTCACGACTTATGCTGGAAATTAATGAAAAAACGGTGACAAACTAAAACATTTTCGGGAATGGTAAACAGTCAGGTAGAACATCTTTGAGAGCGTGTGAATCAAGAAAATTTTGAAAAATCTATGAATCAATGACTATGCTTTGCATATTATTGAGCTCTAGTCTATCTCTCGATTCATGTAGAAATATCATCTCATGACGGACTTACCATGTGTGAATATACTTTCTTGAGATTTCGTCACAAAGAATTAAAAGATATAGTGTAAGTTTTCACTTACGATTAATATGATTTCATCGCCTTTCATACTGTAGCCCTTTCGAATTCGTGTTAAAGGTATTTTTTCAGACTTTTGAATTTACAAGTGATCGAAAACATTTTGATTTTATTTTTTTATATCTTTTTAGCGTCTATATTTTTATGTTCAATGGAAAATGGAGTAATTCAAGCATATTATGCAGCACAGGCACGCGAAGCATTCAAGAACATGCCATCATTTCCACGTACAAACGAAGTCATACGAACCGTTCAATTGCTTGAAGGAACTGCCGTTACTCTTGATGGTTCAAAACGGTAATTAAATTATTGATTTCTATTTGAATTACGTTCAGATATTATAAAAAAAACACATGATTCAAAGTAATTTCTCTCAGAAGAAAAATTAGAACCAGGAACTATCTGTTAAAACACAATCTACATCATTGATTTAGCTGGTGATCAACTAAAAAGCATCAGAGTACTTCAATTGAGATTGATTTTGTTGAGAGAAGTTTCAATCAGCAGACCTGTTTAGTTTCACTACCAGATAGAATATTTCTAAGTGCATTGTCTCAGTCTATATTGATGCAAAATTTCAAGTCAACAGTCGAAATTCAATTGTTTTTCATATAGCTTATAAAATTCAAGGCTTTCGAGTGAAAAATTTTCTTTAAAGTTTATGTTTCAAGATCGAATCACCAGTTAGCTTAATCATTTCTGACTTTTGAAATGCTCAATACGACGTATCAAATGAATACATATACTTTCGATCAAAACAAAAAATATAACATCGAAACATTTGTATAAGAAGAGAAACTTAGCATAGTACACAAATAATATTCATCAATTAAGATTTATCGATTTTATTCACTTTGTAACATGTTCTAGAGATAAGAATGATATAGATTTTAACTAAACATTATCTCAACAAGCTTCGAAACAAAGGAGAATTTTGCTTCCTGAACAAAAAAAAAATCGTATTCCTTATACTAGGAAAATTTTTGTATCTTACTAAAGAATTAATGATTTATTCTTTATCATATCTAGTGAACTCACATCATGGTCATATCAACATTCAGCATCTATTGAATCTACTCGTTTCTTCCTTGATGATATAACTATTAACGAGTTTGCCATTGCATCTAATAATTTACATTCAGAGAGCATATTTGTACTCATACTAACAAATAATCATTGGATTGAAATCTATTCGGCTAGATCACTTAACAATGAAGCTCTGTTTAGTCTTCAACTTCGTTCTCCAGCACGAGTTCATTCAACACCTAGTGGAAGTTTTTACATATTAACATGCAATGGTATCGCATACTCTATTACTCAACAAGTCAATTCTGACAAAGAAATTCAATTCAATCAGACAGCTAATACTCAATTGAAGATCCAATGTTCGATGATGTTCAGTTCGGTATTAACTCTCAATGGATTAGAATGTCTTGTTGTTTTCGCTGACAATGCACAATTGATGGCGATCTGGACCATAGAACGAATAATCTATATTAACATTGATGTTTCACCTTATATTTCATCATCATCATTGAAATCTATCACTGGTGAACGAACACAAAATTTATTATTACTATATTTCAATAATAAAGCTCTTATTTCATGTCAAGTAAATTTCGACAAATCGAATGATAAAGGTTCTCTACAGTTGACTCCATTCGATCAAGCCGATAAATTTCACCTTAAAAGTTATTGTCTTGCTGCATACAACAATGGAAAAACTCAGATTAATTTGCATAATATTCGCTCATGTACATGTTATGAACCGATTCAACTCGATAATGAATGTCTACACTTATGTTTGAATGAATCAGCAAATTATGTTTTTGTATTAGTCAAACCTCGAGTCTTATTCATGTATCGAATTGATGATCGTCAACAATTGGCAAAATTATTTGTCTATGATTTTGTCTCGTTTATCATAGCCGATAATGAATTTCTTGTCTTAGCTATGAATGATCGACGTCTACTAACATTAATGATTGCTGATCCTAATGATCCTACATTGCAGGCTAGAATACAAGCATTACCGAGCAGGTGCGTATCATAAGAGATAATGATGACTAAAAATTCATTCTGAGTTAGTAACCAATGAAACAAAAGCTAGAATGTCCCGAAAATAATTTTTAGATGATCCCATGAGACTTTATTGTAATTAGTGTTTTTCCTAAAAATGAACGAGAGAAAAAAGTCAAGTCTTGTAAAAGCTTTGCTGTTCTAATCATGAATGATTTTAACCTCAAGGCTTGGATTTGGTACTTCGATGTTTCAAAAAACCCTTTGATAAATGGATACCGTAGTAAAAAGTATTCCCATTGTATTTTAGGACACATTTTCATAATATCTTGCTGATGGTGACATTTTCTATCGACTGTCTCTCATATACTGATCTGCACAAAACAGAATTGCTAAAATATATATTTTGTTTTTCCTCGATATATGATGGCCACATCTAATAATAGAATTTGAATACTTCAAACTTATCTCATTAATTATGAATCGATGAGAAAGATGTCTACCACAGACAACCAAACAGAGAATGGTCTAATGAGCAGTTTGGTTTAATAAGAAGTTGAAAGGAAACTGAAAACTATCCCAAACCTGAAATCATCGGATTTTGGTTTCAATTTGTTTTTTTTTTTTACCTACAGATAAACAACGATCCGAACGGTTTGAGTGCATGATTAGTTTTTCTCAAAGTTCTTTTGCACAGAACTCACATAGAAACGAATTTAGAAACAGTACTAAAAAGAGTATTTTAAGCACACATTGATTCCTGAATTATGTTGAACTATTGATAACTTTAAAAAGAATAACTTGATTAAAATTGAATTTCGACAGTTTTCTCCTTGAATTACTCTCTAATTATGTAATACAAAAATAACTTTTTTTATAGCACAAAATACTGTGTACGACAATGTAAAATACGTCTAAATGTTCCTGCATTGTCAAGTCTCAATAGTTCACTTTCATTAAGAATATCAGAAATTAGAAGCCGATTTTAATGGCTAAAATTCTCTTTGTATATTATTATTACTATTCTGAACCGAATCTAAAAATTAGCATTCTATTTTATTAAACTATCATAATATATTACTCGTCCTATTCTAGCATGGTTCTAATCGTCTCATGAGAGACACATCTTACTAATATGGAAGCGTTATGAAATTCAATCGTTTTTCTCAGCTCTTGTAGCACAGAGTGCAGGAAAAATATGTTTTTTCTCAGTTATGAATAATACTCCATCAAGTAGTTGATTTATATTTTTAACATGAACAATTTCATGATTTTCCATTTCGTTTTTCTATTTGTCAACTGTGCATATTATCATGCGCTTTATTCATAAATGTCGGGCAACAGTTTGTCAGCAATATGGAATTCTGTAGAGATCATATTGAAAAAGAAGTTCATGATCGGTTCTCTGAGCATTTGAAGTCATCTTACATGTAGGATTTGAAGACAAAGAACAAACAAAGGAATAAAAAAAAAATCCATTTTTAAGAAAACCATTGTATATTGATCGAATAACAAGCGATAAAATAGATCTCATTTACCTGTCTAATGAAATAGTACTGAATTGTCCAAAAAAAATAAGGCATCAAATGATTATGTAAGTGAACATTTTCACAAAAGAAAACATCGCAGAGTTCAAAAAACAAAAATATATACAAAATTTCTTAGTGGAAATTTGTGCTCATTTCCTAAAAGTTTCACACCATTAAAAGCGATGAGTGAATTCTTTTGAATGAACTTGATGAGTTATTTTCTTTGAAATAGGAATCTTCATCGTATCAGCAAATCTGCAACTACAAAACTTGTTGAACATATGGAAAAATGTGCCAATATGAGTTCAAGTGACGAAGACGAATCTGACCTTGAAGAAGACGACATCGAAGTCAATCATCATCTTAGGAACAAGAACGATAACAAAACTACTATACAAAAAATTACACAACCTATCAGCTTCTTTCGTTTCGTTACTCGATTCAATGGTCGACATTCACTTTCCAAAATGAGCAGTGATGAGGAGATAAGATCGAAAGTCGTGGCTGCATTACTGAACAATTTAGAGTTTCTCAATATTGCGACACTTGCAAATGATTCCGACAATGAAAATCATGATGATGATAATGACGTAGAATCTTCTGGTATTGCTATTAAAACTGACGAACAACAATATGTCGACGTTGACTTGAACGATATTCGTCAAAAGACATTGGAATACGATCGAAAACAACTCAAAGGAGTTCAGTTCGCAAATGCGGGCGATAGAAATTTGAAAGTTATCAACAACTATGCAATTAATTCGAACACATGTACTATCATTTGATCATTTTACTAGGCAATTCTATGATTGAAACATGATGATCATGAAAATTTTTGAAAAATATTTCGAAACTTTAAATTTTATTCTTTAAAATTAGTTCAACTAAAATCTCAATATTTAGTACTCTATCGAAGTCTGAATAAAACAAGAAATAAATAAGCAAACTAATGTTTTCTTTTTTAACTCCAAAACTTTTGTCGAAGTTGAGTAAATCTCATATCTGATATTTTAATCAGTTTTTTGTGTTAATCATATTTACTTTGTTATTTCAAGTATAGACATAAAATTCGATATTGTTTTTGTCTACAAGCGAAATCGATAAATTCCAATAAATGACACTAAACAAGTTCTTAAACAATTCATCGGTGATTAATTTTGAAACTGGATACTTTTTAGAAACCTTATGAAATAGTTGTTTGCTTTTCTTCTTTGAATAATTTGATGAAGTGGATATGCATCATAATATGAATAAATACCTTTTGATTTATTTCGTTTCACTCCGAACAAGATGGCCAATACATTGGTAGAAGTGAAAAGAAGATCGACAAGTACAATGAGTATTATGAAAAGTACTTTCCATGAACATGAATTTTTACAAAGTTGACAACGCAAAAATGAAAATGATATTCTTTTGTTTCTTAATAATGATCTATCATATGTGAGCGTATTCCGTTTCAGATGTCGAATTCGTACAAAAAGAATGGACATTGATCATGTCTAACCGATGTTTAGAAATCATTGGTAGTCTATTGATTTCTAGCGAATTCTTCATATTTTCTTATTGTTATATCGATCGACTCAATTCAGATGTCTCAAGATCTAACAAAGTCATAATAAGCCAAACACTTGTTTTTAGTTTTTGCCTTATTACTCGACGCAGTATGTGATTTCTTGGGTTGATAAAAACGCTTACCTTTTTTTCTTGCTTTCCTCCATTATTTTTATTACTTTACGTGTTACTTAATGAGGTGGTCTTACATCGATATATAAATGTCGATATTCATGTACGTATATGAGCATGGGTAAAGAAAATGAATGAGAAAAAAACCATCACATGATGCAAAATATATATCAGAAATATAAAAAAAAAGGTCAAACCATCGTGACGGTTATGTCTTTCAAACTGAGCATTGAAAGACCGTGATTTTTCGACTAGAGACAAGAAACTATTTTTCAAAAATCGACGTAGATTGTGTTCTAATTCGTAACAGCAGTTTTAGAAAGATATATTCTGACTGTTTGCTGCTAAGATGGCCAAATTTTCAGACTACCTATTGATGAATACCGAATTATTTTATTATTTGTCGTTGTTGCACAAATCCAGAAATACGAACAATAATACATTATTTGCTCGGATACTTTTTTCAGAGGTACATAAGGTACCGAGAAAGTCACTAAACAAAGAAAAATTATAATATTTTCGTCTTATTTTGACCTAAAGGGCTGATATATTTCCACTGATAGAGTATTATTCATAGGACAAACATTGATAAAACTATTTTGACGTATCACAACTGACTTCAACAAGGAATTGTAATCCATTAAGGGTTATTAAAAAACGATATATTCATGCTCTTACCAATAATAAACGGCACACCAACTTTTTTTTTAATTAATTTTCTATGTCAGTGTTGTTTAGTGTCAAATTTATACCACAGATATGTGCCTTTTTAATATTTGCACGCTGGAAGTTTGAGCAATAAACATAATGAATTCATTCGGAGCATTGCGATATTATTTTTTCGTAATCCGTGAAGGGTCAAAGTTCTTTGTTGCATTCAGTTGTGATACTTCAAGGCAGTTTTTGCCAATGCTTATCCTACAAATGTTAGCTATGAACACTCCTCTATCAGCAGTAAAATTCTTAGCTTATTAGGTCAAGATATGACAGTCATATTCAAATATTTTTTGGGTTATTGACTTTCTAGACAAGCACGCACACTCTCTCTCTCTATATATATATACATGCTTATACGCATCTTGAAATGAATAATAGCACTCCGTACTCTAAATAGAACCTCATTATTGAAGTTTTTGAAAAAAATAAGCAAATATTCTGTAAGCGCTCTGGGTTTTCTGTCATATGGTGTATATATACTTTAATTTGCACTTATGCACTACCGAAATAAGCCGAGTGCATTGAAGGTACTCTCATCACCAAATTCTTATGAACTTAACTTTGCCACTGTTATTAAAATTGGTTTAACAAAATTTTCATCAATATGGAATTATTTAAAAAAAAATAACTATGTACTCTGATAGAGCTTGAAATTCTCCTTCATGGTATAGACAATGGTTCTAATAAGAATAGTTTTTTCGAAGACGCGATGATTTTTCTTTTTTTTTTTAAAGAATTTTAAAGATAACTATAACTTTTTATATTTTTGAGTAAAGAAAAGTTTCCTCAATCGAATGATACAAATATTATTCAATTATCTTGAAAAGTAACTGAGTGATTAGCGATAATTTGCGAGTAATTGAATTTGTTCTTATTAGGAGTTCTGTTCCTAATAAGAACAATAAGCCAAAAATTGTTTCTAATACGAACAGGCTATATAAAGGGTGTTGGTGCTGATCTTCTCTCTGAACCTGCGCCCACACCCACACCCTTGTGTAAGTCAGATCAATTTTGATGTAACGGAATGTGTTGCATGCAACTCATAGTGATGTTCTACAGCATATATACGTAAAGTTAAATAGTGATGATATACTTCTGTTTCAAATTGTAATATACCGATTGTTTGTGTTGATTTAATGTTGCATTTTTATTTTCGAATTAGAATCGTACAAGCAATAGAGAAAATATTGATTTTTCATCTTGTGAAACAGTTTTCTATAGAAATGCGAGCTGAAAAGAGTTGGCTACTAGTGCGCAACTTCAAAAGTCTCATCATAAATACATTTCTTCGACAAACTCTTTCAACTGTCATTTCAGAAAAAAATGCAGAACTCAAAGTTGGCGTGTTAATGAAGTTCACCAATAAAATATCTGCCCAAGTTCTGTTCATTTGATTGAACACATTGTTATGTTGTATATCTAAAATCAGGATGCTAAAATCAAAAGAACAAATTAATCGATGAAATGTTTGTCGATCTATTTCGAGCTTACTGCATCACATGGTTCCGGTCCACATTGTTCTAATTCTTGTTCACGTGCTCTAATTGATAAAGAATCTCGTCGTCGATTTTCGCGAAAAAGAATGTATTTAAATACCAGCGACGCAACGAATATAGCACTCATGAAGCCGAGATTGATAAAATGACCACGAAGGAAGTACGGTGCATCTTGAGCACGATAAATCTAAAATAGTATAAGTAATTCTAGGTTTTAGCTAAGGAAAAACTATAAGTCGATCACCTCTCTAACGAATAAGAGCTTTCAGCTATTTTGAAAAGCTGTGACGGAAATCATTATATGAGAATTTTTTCTGGACTACTGTGATCTGCCTTATATAAATGTTTAATAGAAATGATTTTTATACATATCGACAATGGGAATGAAATCAATGAATAACATTTGTCCCATGGTACTTACATGTCCAGAGACAATTCCACTCATGTTCCCAGATCCAACAATGAGTCCTGTTGCTACAGCTCGTTTTGTATATCCACCAATATTATTCGTAAACCAAGACATGATAAGTGGAATGGTAGAAAATGTGCCAATACAAGTCAAACATGTTACAATATATAATACTGTCAAACCATATTTAGCAAGTGTTATTAACAAAATACATCCAACAATGCCGATGGACAAAATTCCAGTTATGTGATAACCACGTTCTTGAAAACGAGCCGCTGAAAATGCGGCAATCAATGTGATTGGAGAAGACATTAAATTGGGCGGAGCAGACATCAATTGTGCATGGGCATTGGACAAATCAGATCCCTCACTGATTAGTGTTGGTAGAAAAATAATGAGGGAATGAACAATAGTTGCATTGCCCATATAAATGAACATGTAAATATAAACTTTCCAATCGATGAATGCACGACGAACTTGTTGCCAGGAGAAAATCGGTTCGCCATTAGATGACAGACATGTATCTTGTAGTAGATGATTAGTTAACATTTCCTTTTCTGTATTTGTAAGCCCTGGAGAAATTTAATAAAAAAACAAAATAAAATAAAGAAAACTAATCTTTCGAACATACATTGAACAGTTTCGGGTAGATCGCCCAAGAAAAAGTATGTTACGATGCCTAAGAGAATGCATGGTGACCCTTCTAGAATGAAAATCCATTGCCAACCGTCGAGTTTCATTTGATTCTGCAAACGACTAATGCCATATGCCTATAGTAAATGCAAAAATGAGTGTTTAGACAGTCATGACTTAAGAATTATCGCCATACTAAGATGCCACCGAAAGCACCAGATAGGAGAGCTCCACAGTAAAATATGGCTATTCGAAATGCATGTTGCTTGCGTACGTACCAAATTGAAATGTAAAATATGACACCTGGAAAATAGCCAGCTTGTGCTGTCCCCTAGTATCATATTTTAGAATAATGATATATTGATTTTGTTCATTTGAAAATCACACTTACTATTCGAGATATTTATTTGGAGTCTTTAAATCTCTACTTTCTGAATAAGATTGGATCGCCAGTAAACTATTTTCTTTCACTCTCACTATTAGTCGTAATAAATTCGGCAATCTAGATGACTGCCACATTTTATCATTTTTTTTATTATCGTCATCAGACAAATATGTTCAATTTTTAATTTAAAAAGAAAGATCGAATTTTCAATGTTTTTTTCCTCGTCGAAAATTTACTTCTCGTTTGTTTCTATAGAATTCTCTTATGCCAGTTCAGTTTGCAATTCGGAGTTTGATTCTACGTATATGATTTAAAACAATTGTTAGCGAGAGTTTTGATTATTTCGTTTATTGATTTTTCTGGTTTTCCGATTGATTCAAGTAATCTAGAGATACGTTATCCTTTCTTTTTCTGCTTCAGTTATGCGATGTCTTAAGTATATTCACCAAAAAAAATCGTGTAGCTAGTAGGCCAGAAGCATTTTTCACGAATGCCATCAATACTGTAATTAGACCCCAAACGATCATAACAATTGAGAGAAATTTCGATGGACCGATGTATCGCATGAGCAAATTCGATGGAACTTCGAGAAACATCTGAATTATAATGAAAATATTGCAATTGAACTAAACTTTACTCACAAAACCAATGAAATAAATTGACACTGCCCAACTAGATTCCGATTGTGTTAATGAAAGACTATTTTCAATACCAGCAAGTTTTGCATTGCCTCAAAAAAACCAAACAAGTCAATATTCTAACGCATTCTATTTCCTGTATTAATGGGTATAATATCACATCTGTCTTACTTACCAATATTGATCCGACTTAAGCATGAGAACAATTTGAGTAGAATTAAAAATGGCATCAAACGTCTATCTAATTTCCACAGTAGAGCACGCATTGCCTTCTGATACATATTGTCTGCGAAAGAAAACCATTTTTCATTTGGTATCGACTTAGTTTTATTGTTCACAACTTGTTGATGATCGACAGTTTCACTAATCGTAAGTAGAGAAATCATTGAATATTTCAGAATACTTATTATTGTCGCCTAATGTACGCTATATTTTATAGTAAGTTTCTTTATTGGATACAACGTATTTTGTCTCATTGTATGTGTCATGAAAATATAAATAGACTTTAATCTATGTATTGATAGAATCGAGAAAACGGAAGAGAAAAGAAAAAGACACATGCATGATAACATTTTGTTTCAAAAATAATCGAACAAATGACACATTAGGATTAAAACCTTTTGTTGATGACGAATTTGTCGATGTCATAGAGTTCATAAACAAATGGCGTTTTGTCGTAGGAGAGACATTTCATTCGTTTTGAAGTGACTCAATTTTCTGTGTGCCAATTGATTCTCTTAACAGTATTCATCATGAAACTAGTTACGACTTTTCGTTTTCTTTTTTCTTTCTTATATTCAATGAAGGCATATTTTCCTGGCAAATTGCGTAGCTAAAAGATTTTCATGAAAACGATAGAGAAGAACTAGACTGTGGGATGTGGGTGGAAGTATGGACGTCATTGAGGCGAAGATCCACACCCACAATTATTAACATTGCCTGCAGGTTTCGTTCATAATCAACAATAAAGTTCTTTTAGAAAAAAAGAAAAACTTTCTTCATTTGAAGTCATTATCATATTTGTTGTCATTGACTTTAGTCAAGTGAAACGTTCAATAATAATCAGCCTAAATGTCCATATTAAGTCGATCACGGTAGCCGCAAATGGTATATTATGACGCAAAAGAATAGTGAAGATCGATGGAGATAAATAAAAAATAATTGTAACAAATAAGAATACTTATATTGACAAGTTACCATATGGAATAGAGAGAATTTTTTTTGACACTTTGTGCAAGAATCATCAGTAGCATTATATGCAAGTTGACGTCCTGCTCCAAATATCATTATTAAACTGAATGAAAACAAACTACATATTTGTTTCACCTCTGGATCGTCGTAAATTATGTATACAACTATAAGTGACAAACAGTCAAGAAACAAATATAATACAACTGAGAACATTGATTGGAATATCCAGATAAGAATGGCAACGTTTAGTTTTTTCAATGAAACTTTGAAGCCGAACACGGATAGGAGAACGAGATATTCTTTGAATTTTATACTTCGTTTGCCAATAATTATCACCTACAATTATATGCATGTATATATATCTATATAAACGATGCCCCAGAACTTCTGACTAGACTTAAATCATACATTTTCTTATAGGTAAATATGTCTTTGGAAATTTGTCTCGATGAAGCAACGATGCAGTTAAATATGCAGGACAAAATGACTATTGATTTTGATCACCGCTGGCTCATATAATAAGAAAATTATAAGATTAGAAATGTGCTTTGCAAAAAATAGAAATTAATTGCGAAGCTCTCAGAACAAAAACAGAAAGTACTTAACTAAGTGCGACTTCGACAGTCAGTTCACTTGGAAAATCACTCTAATGTCATTACATAATTAATTTTAGATGCCAAACATGTTTACTCTGAAGAAATAATTTCGTGGATTCGTTCTTTCTTTGAAGAAAATAGATATTCAACTTATTTTTCTTCTTCATCTCCATCACGACATGTTGGTAGAGGACATCAACAAGGTTCACTGTTATCTAGATGGAATTCGTTTTCTTCAAATAAAGAACGAATCCACGAAATTGTTGCTCTAGAGTAAACATGTTTGACATCTAAAATTAATTATATAATGACTTAAGAGTGATTTTTCAAGTGAACTGACTGTTCAAGTCGTACATAGTCAACTATTTTCTGTTTTTGTTCTGAGAGTTTCGCAGTTATTTTTTATTTTTGTGTGAAGTATATTTCTCAGCTTATTACTTTCTTACTATATGAACTAACGGTGATCAAAATAAATAGTCATTTTGTCGTGCGTATTTAATTGCATGTTTCTTTCATAGAGACGAATTTACAAAGATGTATTTACCTATATAAAAATTTATTTTAACACAAATGCATATTATTATAATATTCTCCTGTTTTTAATATATTTAAAATTCTTACTTTGAAAAACTTTTATAAAAAGAAACTAGCTATCAGAAGTTCTGAAAGCATAATTTTCCTATGAAATTTGGTCAGCTCTATCTAACCATAATAAAATTAAACATAATTTAAAAACTTGCCGAAACTTTTGAGCTTACGACAATTTATAACGAAATAATATAACTTCTATCATGGAAACATAAAATTATGTTTAATTAATTTCGATCAATTGTTAAAAGAACTTGGGTATCATATAAACATCGTTAAAATTTGAGAAGGCTATAAAGTTTAGAAATAAACTAATTAGTACGGTCTATTAAGATTAAAGATTTTAAAAAAGATAAAAATAATGACCAATTTGAGGTTTTCAATTGATATGCATGCTAGAAGCATTCAATAGAAAAAGATGAAATTATAAATTTATTTGGTATATCATTATCTATCTTTTTAATGGTATAATATGAAATGGACGCCGCGATGGTTGTTATTCTATAAGACACTTAGTATTTTTATTTTAATTATCGTCTTGTCTTTATATAATAAGCCTATAATGATAAAAATTTTTGAAAGTCCTTAATTACTTTTTTCTCGAAAAGAAATCTAGCATATTAAAAGTAGTCTGTCATGTAATAAAATCTAGCATCAGTAACAAATTGATATATCTTTCCATAGTGATAAGTTTTCTTATCGGTCTTACCGATTAATTTTATTGATAAATTTAATTCATATAGGATAAAAAGTAGATCATAATACTATATCCATGGGAGTCGAATCCAGATAGTTATTTTCATTGGTTTGCTATTGATATATGCATATACACTCAATATGATTAACAGACTATAATTTGTTAATTTTTTTCCTTTGGTCATTTCTCACGTTAGTCATCTTTGATAAATAAAATCCACCGTTAAATAAACAGTAATCAACACATAATGATTAATAACAATGTTTGATCGTGAAAAGAAACAAGCATGCCAAAGGCGGCAACTATCTTCATGAAAACCTTCATTTGATATATACTAAATACTTTGATTGTGACAGCTAGAAGAAATTTCATCCATGTATAAAATAACGATCGAGATGGAGACATAAAATACATCAATGACATCGAATAAAACAAGAATACATGATAAAGTAAATATGATGATATAACCTCCCAAGTATTTAAAAAGAAATATTGAAATTTTGTGTGACAACAATATTAAACTCCATGATCAAATGCATTGGATTATCGTGAACCATTCTTAATTAAATCTAATCAGCATTTTTGAAGAAAAAACCCCCTATTTCAAAAAGAAATCCAAAAAACTTTTAACTCATTCGGTGAAAAACAAGCATTTCTTGTTCAAGAATAGTTCCTAGACAATACTTTTTGAACGATTTTGTTTTGAGTATAACTCTGTCATAATATACTCTTTTGACGAGTAGTTTTCATCAAAAGCCTAGTTAGAATCTATATCATACTCATGGATAATTTCAGCTTTTCATGTTGATTTATAGTGGAATGAGATACATAACAACTTGACTCACTCAACTTTTGCTGGACGATCTTCTAAATTGAGTTATTCTCTCCACATAGGTCAAAAAAGAAACTGAATCCATATAAATTGAAAGAGAAGAAGATGCGCTACATTTTGGCAATTAGAAACACTTAAAAACAACTTTTATATGAAATTTTATGATTACTTTGTAAATATCAAATCTTTATTTCTGTCTATAGAGAGTAACTTGTTTTCCAATATGACGTTCGAAAGAGCGTCATACGCTCTATAATGCGGAAGATGTTTCAGACTTTAACTAAATAACTTTGGTAGCCTTTAAAACCAAAGTATGTATCACATTATAGAGCGTCTGACATTCTTTCAAATGTCATATTGGAAAACAAGTTACTCTCTATAGAAGAGAAATAAAGAGTTGATATTTCCAAAATAATCATAAAATTTCATATAAAAGTTGTTTTTAAGAGTTTCTAATTGCCAAAATGTAGTGCATCTTCTTCTCTTTCAATTTATATGAATTCAGTTTCTTTTTTGACCTATGTGGAGAGAATAATTCAATTTAGAAGTTCGTCCAGCAAAAGTTGAGTGATTCAAGTTGTTATGTATCAGAGGTCTCAATGGGCCGGGTCGGGCTAATAAAAACCAGCCCATGGGCTATCAACATTGGCCCGGCCCAGCCCATGGTTTTTCCTAAAAAAATCGGCCCGCCCATGAGTGCCCATGGGCCACTCATCTGATTGATACTTTTTCAGACAGACATGTTGACTTGCCATGCTAACTGAAGTAATTAAGATGCTAAGCACTTTATCGTATGGCGTCACGAGTTTTCTTTCTTTAATTAGTTTTAGCTAGGCGTACATATGTCAAGTCGTCATTTTGTGTCAAACTCANCATATGTATAGTATCAGTCCTAAGGACTAATTTCGTATATTTTTAGTATCGACTAACGATTGAGGAAGTTCTCGAATATAGTCGAAATATACTTCAGATCTGGTCCTACTTTACTCGGCGATAAAAACTCTTTCATTCTAGATAAGATTGTACTGAGTAATATGTGAAAATCCTCAGTGGGCCAAATCACGTTCTTATGCGTCCCCGTCCTTTCTATTGATAAACTAAACCAATTATATTCACAAACAACATTCAACGAATCTATACATAAATTAACTCGAAAGCTTGAGAAATTAGAATCAAAAAGCAAATTAATTGAAGATTTGTACAAAAATAGACTTGAATATTGTAATGTTGCAAATCTAGGTATTGAAGATAGATTAGAAGAAAGTCAAATTCAAGATATACTTATTGGTAATGATTCCAGCAAAGCTGTATTTCTTTCAAATGATCGATTGAGAGATCATGACCATAGTGGCTGGAATGAAATATATTCTGAAATGATTGAAGAAAATAGAAAAAATCGTCAGTTACGTCTTATCTATGCTGATTTCACCTATTCAACATACAACCTGAAAAAAATGACCATCGCATTATCAAAAGATATGACAACAAATCAAACTATATCAAATTCTCAATTATCTGAAAATGATGTAAAAGGAAAAACTCATTGTCCAACAATTTCTTCATCATCAACTAAAAAGTATATTAATATACTTCTTTTTGGTGAGTCTGGTGTTGGTAAATCAACTTTCATTAATGCTTTTGCTAATTATCTTTATTTTCAAACTCTTGATCAAGCTCAACAAGAAAAACCAATTGTTATTATACCTGTGTCATTTACAATGACAATTAATTATATATTTAAAAAAAAAAAAATAATTAAATTTGGTGATATTGATTCAAATGAAAATCATAATAATCTAGGTCAATCAGTAACTCAAAAATGTCAATGCTATGTTTTTGATATTTCTCAAGACAAAAAACTATGTATTATTGATACACCTGGTTTTGGAGATACACGTGGTGATAATCAAGATAATCTTAATATGGAAGAAATATTTTCTTTTCTTCATAATATTCCTTATCTAAATGGTATATGTCTTTTATTTAAACCTGAAATTTTAGAATTACATCCTTATTTTTATTCTTGTTTTACTCAATTATTTGATTATTTTGGTGAAAATATTCGTGATTATATAATATTTTGTTTTACTAATGCTCGTTCAACATTCTTTGCACCAGGAAATACACGAACATTATTAAAAACATTCTTTGATTCATTTCCTATAAAGAATATTCCTTTTGAAAAAAATAATACATTTTGTTTCGATAGTGAAGCATTTCGATATTTAGTTGCATTACAAAATTCTATTGAATTTGATCCAAATGAAAGAAATGAATTCGAACAAAGTTGGTTAAGATCAGTGATAGAATCGAAACGTTTTCGTAATTTTCTTTGTAATCAACATTCATATCGTAAAAATATTCAATGGCAATCAATTAAACATGCTCAATTTCAAATTAAAAACATGATTCGTCCAATATTAGAAACTTTACGAAATCATCTTCGAAATATAATTTTGTATAATTCTAATTCATGCATTAAACTTCAAGCTACACATACGAAACAATCTACAATGATTTGCTATGCATATAATCGTCATCCTAAGAATTATGGAGATATTTGGATAATGCCAGATCATCTTCATTATTCACCTGACATGGTAAGTTATTTATATCGATAATTCTTACATAATATCAGTGAATATTTGCTTTTGATTTATTTATACACTTATAGTGTACATCAGGTGAACAAAAACCAATTAAATATACACTCAATTATGAATTTCTTAATCAGAAAGTTGATGAATCAATAAAGGAATTAAAAAGTGAACATGATAATCTCTATGTAACATGTGCAAAATTTTCTTACTTTTTAATGAAAACATCTTCGAATTCAAAAGAAAATCCATTTCTTAGTGATATTAATAGAATAATTCATGAAGAGAAATATATATGTAGAACACAAACTATGAATGATTTAAATAGACAATTGCTCAATAGATTGGAAGAACTGAAGATAAAATACGAAGAATATCTACATACAATAAAATCAAGCAGCGATGATTTAACTTTATCAGGAATTTACAATTTAATAAAATCAACTTATAAAATATCCATGATTAAAATCCAATTAAATGCCATCAATAAATATCAACAAACTTTGGTTCTAAATAATCAACATGAAGTTTTTATAGATAAAACTTGTTCTTAGACGATAAATAATCAATTTTGTGAATAATTATTCATTTATAAACATATTCTATAAATTCAAATTTAAAAAGATAATACATAATCCCAATAAACTTATCGAAACAAATTTTTTCAACAGTCTCAAATGTATGCTAAGAAGAAGGCTCTCTACAAAATTGGCACTTCATTTACACTTGGCATGTTCGCATGATTACGAACAATTTTCCACACTTCAAATGTTTTGATATGATCGATCAACATAGTGTAGAAATGATAATAGGACATATTGGAAGGATCGATGATAATTCTAATAATTAGCTATAAAAATTGGAAAAAAAAATGAATTTTTAATGAAATAGTTGATGATTTTGAATAATCAATGATCTAATAACGAGATAATGGCATGAATAGTAAAAAACTGAAAATTTCAATACTTAAATGTTCGGTTCTTCATTTCGACTGAATGAAAATCAATTTTTGAAAATAATTTTAAATTAATTTAAAAAAAAATTTACTATTATCTTCTATCTCATATATTTATTTATTTAGTTAAAAGCAAGATAAAAAGATTTTATGTTATTAGGTAAGAAATAAATCAAAAATCATGAATATCAACATTTTCTTTTTGTTGTTATATAGTTTTACTGTTCACTATAATCGTATCAAATGTTAGAGAGAAACAAAGTGAAATCATCGATATATTCTGATATTTTTTTGTTTATTCTTTTTATAGAAATATTTTCTTCATTAATAAATTTCTTTGAGAGTGTAGGTTTGAGGTGTGTGTATGGATCTTCGTTTCTCTCACAGCCAAGTCCGAGCTCAGTTTTGTTGGATGCTAGAAACAAAATCGTCTAAGACTCTAGTAAAAGAGATGATTCCAAATGTTACAACAAACATTTTTTCGCGACTCATTTTTATTTTCTCTAATCTGTTCAAAGTGAACTTCTTCTAATGCAAAATGTGTGGATTGTTAATTAGGAGATAAAGTCAATTAAAATATCTTCAAGGATATGAACTTTTTTGCTTATTTTATTGTATATTTTTAAAATTATTTTTCTATTTCTTCAAGTTTTTGATTTTCGACAAGATATATTTAATTATGCGCTAGCAGAATCAAATTTTAATAATTTCTCGAAATTGAAAAATATATTTTTTTTCTTTCTTGATTCACAGAATATGTCATAGCAATCTGTTATAAGAAAAGAATTGCGGTAACTCAAGTAAGATGAAGTAAAACAATTAAAGAAGAAACAAATGTTTTCAATCTTTTCATGCAGACATGAAGAAAATACTCGTGAAAGAACTAATATAATAAAATCGATGTAAAGTTTTGCATGATAAAGAATTGTTGAACATAACGGTAGGATTAATATAACAATGCTGAAATAAATTAATGTGACTGGTTAATTCTAATTCAGAAGGAAAAATAAACTAATTCGACATTACACATATATTCGAAAGGACTATGAATAATAAATATTCTTCAATTATATTTACTTTTAGTTTATGCCTTCTGTATCCAAAAAAAAAACCAAACTATTCTATTAGAAATGATAATCACTCTAAATTAAAAACACTTCAAACGACATATTTGTTGTATGTTTAATATTAAATGGTGATTTTTTTTTCTAGATTTGCATTTTAATGTTTACATATTCCATATGAAGATATTATTTTATGTTACTAATGGATTTAAATCAATGTCAATTAGGAGTAGTTGCTACTATTTGTACTTGCTTCTTTTCGCTTCAATAAAAGCTTCTGGAATGTTATTTTTCCATTCTTCTCTATTCTTAGGTCGACGCTTGTTACGTGTTCATTTTTGTCGTTTTGTTTATTTTTTAAAATAGTTCTTTTCTTATGTGCGTCAGTCATCTTTGTTGAGGTTTCTCCAAGGCAAATATACATACAATGTCAATATTTTAATTCTTTCTTGAAATACATATATAATGAAACCATGATTATAAACAAATTCTACACTATTTATAATTATTAATAAAAATAATGCAAACATCATATCAGATAGATATTTTACGTGGACGATGTCAAGAAATTCCAGAAGTACGATCAAAAGTCGTACGTGTCTTTATTAGTTCAACATTTTCAGGTAGGGCATATTGTAAACTTGTATTAAGAAATATAATGGTATGTTTTTGTATGTAGATACACTTAGCGAACGAGATTCATTAATCGATAATGTCTTTCCAAAATTAAAAGATTATTGTCGTGAAAAATATGGTCTTGAATTTCAAGTTAGTATAAACAAGTTTTTGTTTTCGAATGAGTTTCTATATACTATTATTTGAAGTATTCGGATATGCGATGGGGCATTGAAAATGAATCAGCCGATAATCATAGTGAAGTTGCAACTTGTCTTAATGAAATAAAATTATGTCAAAAATATTCAGTGGCGACCAATTTTGTGGTTTGTTGAATTTTGAAATAATTGTTGAATTTTCATAGACTAAGGTATCATTTTGCATTTCTACAGGTTCTATTAAGTCATCGTTATGGTTCACGACCAACACCAGCTACTATTCATGCATCACTTTTTGAACGACTACAAGAAATTGTTGTTTCTGATTTGAATTTAATTGAGGATGCCAAACTACTTTCTCAATGGTATCAACTAGATACGAATTGTATACCGGCTGCTTATATTCTTCGCTCAATTTCGTCAATGTTACCAAATATAAAATCAACAGTGTGATATGAGTATCAATTAAAATGAAAAATCAATAATAGTGTTGTTTTTTTTTTCTTTTAGGAATTAGATGAAAGGAAAAATGCTGCAAAAGAATGGACAAAAATAAATAATCGTATTCGAACGTGTTTGCGACAAGCAGCAGCCAAATGTTTCGAACAAGGTCAAATTAATGCAAATGACTATGATGATTTTTTTATATCAGGTAAAGTTCAATGTTTTTTTTTTTATATTCAATGTTTTCCTTTCAATATTAACAATTATAGTTACTGAAAAGGAAATAGTCAATGGAATTCTATCAGTACCCAATGCTAATCAACGTACCTTATGTTTTCTACGTGAAATCGATGGTATTTATGATCATTTATCCGATAGTAAAGCATCGAGATTTATCGACTTATATTATTCTGATGATGGAAAACCTATTATTGATAATGAAGCTGAACAGTTACTCAATCGTTTGAAATGTACACGTATTCCAAATGCATTACAATCCAATAATATATATTCATATAAAGTACATTGGACAGAGAATGGCATCAATCGACATGATCATATTGAATACATATCAAAATTTAATGATGATTTCTACGATGCAATAAAACAACAAATTGATAATTGTGTTAAATCACGTATTATGATAGTTTCTGATCCATTACAACATGAAATATTGGAACATGCTATACAATGTAAAACATATGTAGCTAAATTTCATGGTCGAATTGATGTTCTAGGCAAAGTATGATATTTATCAGAAAAATTTTTTCATTCTTTTTTTTCCCTATGGAAAGGTATCTTTTATTTCTATTAGTTAGAAAACTATATCAAAAATGAAAAGGAAAATCGACCATGTATTGTATATGGAGCATCTGGTTGTGGTAAAACAAGTGTTCTTGCTAAGGCTGCAACTGAAGTACGTATATAAAAACAATATGCAATTAATAAATTGATTGTTAATTATTATTTATTTAAATTTTAGGCATTGAATTGGTGGTCTGATCGATCTGTATCGGTAATTTTACGTTTTCTTGGGTATGTTCAAAACCTTTTTTTTATGATTGTATTAATGTTTGTTTTTATTTTTAAATTTAATAGTACAACACCTACTTCATCTACAGTCTACAAAACTATGCTTTCTATATCTCAACATATATGTAAACTATACAATCTATCAATGGAAATCTATCCTGATGTATTACAATTACGTTATCAATTAGAAACTAATCTATTAATGTGTATACCTGCTAGTGAATATCTTGTTATAGTACTCGATTCAATCGATCAACTTGAACCGGATGCATACGATTGTCAATGGTTAATTGGAACATTTCCACATAATGTCAAATGTATTGTATCAGCTATACCTGATCATGGTAATATTTTAATGCATTTAAAAGGAATTATTAAGCATAATCAATTATTATCAAATGATACAGAACATTTACTTATTATTGTACCATCATTTGAAGCATCAACAGTCGACATTGTCTATAATGATTGGCTTGTAATGAAAAAACGTTCATTAAGTGATGAACAACGTTCATTTATTCGTGATTTAATGAAAGAACGTAGTGAAATTCTCCCATTATATATGAAACTTGTTTTTGATATTATTTTAACATGGCATTCGTATGATTCAATTAATATTGAATTAAAAAAATTAAGAAATGTCGATGATTGTATTCGTTATTTATTTCATCATTTGGAAAAAGTTCATAATTGTCTTTTATTCACTCGTGCTATGATTTATATGACAGCATGTCGTAATGGTATCAGTCAAAATGAACTTGAAGATGTACTTTCACTTGATGATGAGGTTCTTGAAAGTATTTTTCAACATTATATACCACCTGTTCGACGTTTACCTGGCATTTTATGGACAAGAATTCGAAATGATTTAGATGAATATATTACAGAGAAAGAAGCTGATGATTCGTCAGTCATCTATTGGTATGATTAATACTATAAGATTTAGTTAAGTTTAAAGGTGAAGTAAATTTTCCATTTGAGGAAGTATATTT